AAAAGGGGTATAAATGGGAGAAGAACTAACAGTTTTCACCAGTAATGCAGCATTTCAGTGAGTAATGTAAACTCATTATTGTTTAAGCCTCACAGACCTCTTCCACATAACCTTTGTTTGGGGTGGATTTCCTAGATGGAAGCATGTGCTTGTGTACTGTGTACTACATGTGAAGTAAGCCTCATGCAGCTTTGCCAGTTTATGGACATATGCAAAAGATGGCATGAAAGGAAAAGCTTTAGGGAAAGGCCTTGTAAAAATCTGAATTTAGTATTTGAGCCATGACATAGGCACACAGAGATAAGGAAGTGTAATACATAACTAAAAGTAACATCCCTAACTTTGTAAGGTCATGGTCTTGAGGAAAAACAATAGAAAAAAAATCATGGAAAAGAATTGTGGAAAAAATTCCCTTTATTTTTCAAATACGCACACTATCTTTATTAACACTGAAACTCACAGCATGAAGAAAAAGCCCTTGGGAATTAACATAGTCAAACTGCCAGAATGCTATGAACATGCTGTACAGCACTGATTTCCAGCTACCTCTTTCTTCCTTGGGCAGAGCAAAAGAAGGACGTACATGCAATTTCAGGGCAGTCTTCATGGGCAGATCTGACTCCTGAAACAATGTGCACGTATCACATATGTAATGTGACACATGGCCTATCTGAAAATCCATATACTTCATGGATTTTCTCTCTTAAAATTAATTTTGAAGAGATGTGTCCTAATCCAAGAGCTCTTCATGTATGTATGCATTGAGCTCTCTGTTTCATCCCAAATGTTGCCCATCTAAACATTAGGAATAAATGTGTTTGCAAATAGGAGAAACTTGGAAAGTTTCTGCAAGTAGAAGCAGCAGGGCTGCAGTAAAGAAAAGACTGCATAAACTTTTAAATATCTGACAATTTAAAAAGACAGTTGATGAAATTATTTAATACTTTCAGTTATCCAGTTTGAAGGCTGAGTTAGTACAAGGTCAGCGTTGGGTTTGGAAGGAGTACAAACACTTTTGTATTCTTGGCTGACCTCTTAAAGCCTGCCTCCTTGCCAAGTCAGATGCAGTGGGGATGTGGGTTCTTGGGATATGCGCAGGGAAGTCAAAGACAAAGTGGAGAATTTTCTCTATACATTGAGAAGTTCTTGTTACATCACCAGCAGGTACAACTCAAAATCAGCAATGCATTGAGCTCCTTCCTAGTAAACCTTGCTTTGGAAGGCTCATTACTGGAATGAAGTAAAGTAGCTTCTGTTGTTTTAAGGATGGTATTAGTTGGATAAATCCAGGTGGGCATCAAAATGAAGTATGTAGCTTTACAGAGTGAGAGTTTAGTGTTGCCTTTCCTTCTTGGATTAGCAACAAAAACCTTAACTCTCCGTATATGTATGTTTGTGCATATGCACCCCTTTTCATATATATATAGAGGTGTGTGTATATAGATACAGATACAAATTCCTGATAATACTTTACTGTTTGGGTACTGTAAATAGATAATCCCAATCATAAACTGGTTAACAACAGGGGTAAACACCAGAGCTAAAAACTATCAGCTGAATTCTGAAATTCCCTGTGGGAGACTGGCTTGCAGTACTTAAAAATGAGGCCTCTGTTTGTTTGTGCTCCATTAATCTTGTGTTGAAAGCAGGAAATCACAAATGGCAAGGCTTGGAGTGTACTACGTTGTGGGAACATCTGCGATCGTGTTGATGCAATGTGGTATGGAGACCCCCTTTTGTGATATGCTCACATGTCTGCTAACAGCAACTGAAAACAAGTTAGACTCCTGCTGAGTTTTATTAAAGCATTAGGATCCTTCCAGATAGCTTTTAAAAATGATTGGGCTGGAAGGACCCTTTGCAATATCTCTAAACCAGAAAGCACGTGCATATATTATAAAGCCAGAAGGGACGTTTATGATCATCTAATTTGACTCTCTGTATAACCCAAGCCATAGGACTTCCCAGAATTAATTCCCATTTGAGCTAGAGTCCAATCCAACAATCTTTTCTTCCATGCCCTTTATACAGGAAGTCTCTTCAGGATTAGAATTCAATGCTTTCTTGAAAAGTTGGACAAATAGTCTGGAAAAAAAAAAAAGAAAACCAAGATGCAGTTCAGTATGGACAAATATAAAATACTAAGGTAACAATAATCAACTGCACAAACACAGGCTGGGAAATTACTAGCTAGGCAGCAGTTCTGCTTAAAATGATGTAGGAATTATGTATTACCACTGGAGTGGAGTCAAGGCTATCATGCTGTTGTGAAAAAGGGTTTTATAAGCAGGTCTGTTCGTTATGAAGGTTTAGACTCATGTCAGCTGAGCTGTGTTAATGATAAGCTAGTGCTGTCTTAGCCCACTATAGATGCAAGCTAGTGCAGTGTATCTTAAAACTCTTTGATTAAGATCCAGTCTTTAGACACAGCCATCTCATCAAAGTAAGAGTCTAACCTCACTAAGATTTAAGATAAGATGAACAGACTTGAATTTGCTGTATGTATGCATCATGGACAGTTAGCCTGATCAGCTGATGCATAGCATGCTGTTAAACTATGGTAACTCGAGTCTAAGATCTAAATCTTAATGTACATGAAATATTCTTTTCTCAGTGCTCAACACTAATAAATCTTTAGTTGGATTGTTGTGTCAAATTTTAGTTACTCCGCTTTAAGAAAGAAGTGGAACAGCAAGGAAAAAGTCCAGAGGAGAGGAATGTGAATGATTATTACCTGTGAGGGTATACTGGGTCTGTTTAGTCTAGAAAGGAGAAGAGCAGACATTATAATAGTATTCATACAAGATAAAAAAATGCTGCAAAGGGGAGGATAATAATTTGTTATCCTGCTCACTTGCCACCTGCTAGAGCAGATCTCTTGTCAGAATAAGCAACCTGCCTCCCACAGTCAGGAAACGGCCCGCTGCCTTAGGGTCTGGGGCCAACCACTACTAAATGGAGCTACAATACACTTCTATTTACCCTGCTATGTTATCCAGTTTTATGTGAAAGAGATGCCTTTGTCCATTTAGCTCAAATTCCCAACAATAATCCAGCCCATAAAAATAGAGTACTCTGCCTATAGGATGTGGAATGTGGCAGCACCAATATATAATCCTGCAATTCCTGAAGGACCAAAAAGAGCGTCAGGATCTGGCTTTGGACACTCAAGAAATGTGTTTTAGGAAGCTTTGTTAGTGCTGGGGAGCTAAGCATGGGCAGTTGTATGGTTGTGGTTGGCAAAGTTGACTCCAGCTGATGCCTCCAAGGTGTTCCTTCTTGAGGTCCACTTAGGTGCAGCTCTGAGTGGGCTTCTAGATGAAAAGGATCAGTGTGGAAAGCCAGGGTAGAGGGGTTTAAGTGACATACTGGGTTTGGAATAATGAGTAGACCTCAAGTAAAAGCTGCCCAGTTTAGATAGTTCAGCTGTACAATAGGAGGCTGCTTGCTGCTGTTTCTGGGCCTAGCCATTTCTAAAGCAGGACAGCTACATGGTAGTAGCCCGAAAACTGTTCTTTCCATCTTCCTGGTTGTGTCTAGGCATTCATCTTCTGGATGTTCATTGACCTGGATATTATGGAGCAAGCCCTGCTTGTCCCGTTCACTGGACTGAGAGACATAGGCTGTGTTCCTGGCCACGCCAGGGAAGGGGGATAAAGCATGGATGAAGCAGGTCCCTACTTCTTGCTTGAGCCTCTGAGATGTTTCGGGTGTTTTGTGGGCTTATGTCCAAGTGTGTTAAACAGAAGTTGAGTTCCATTTGGTAGGAACTGAGAAATTTATCCTGAATTTATAAGTTTGGGGTCTGGCAAACTTGTACAAGTGCTGGAAAGTAATTGGGTACTGCCTATAAAAGATAAGGAGCTGTAGAAAGACAGGGATATTTTGAAGCACGTTATGGAGCAATGTGACGGAAGGGAAGTAACTTCTGAAAATAGCCAAAGAGGAGCAAAGGAACAGTGTCCTTAGGAGTCTTATGATGAGGAGTGAAACTGTTTTCTGAGCAAATCTGGGGTGGCAGGGAGTCATTCCTGGCATGGAGGTACTACCCAGCTGCTCAGGTGGGCAAACTGTTCTTAAACTTTGCATTTCCCCTTTGGGTTTCACCAAGAGGAGAACAGCTTGCTAAAGAGAAATGAAGTTAACTGGTGTTTGGCAGAGCTTGGTAGAGGGGAGAGCTGTTTCAGAGGCTGGATAATGGATATAATAAATTCTTTTAATTGTTCACTGCTTTCACAATCCATTAGCAGCTTCCACTAATGAAAAGCCTATTGACCCCTATTTGTGCTACCAGCCAGCACAGTAAGCCCTGTCCCTGCTGTATGGTCCCACATTCCTTCAGGAGCTGGGTGACTCTAGTGTCTGCAGCCAGAAGGGTTGCCAGAGGAGTGAGAAGCTCTCAGGAAGCATCATCTGCATATCTGTGCAAACACCAGGACTGTGAGCAAAGAGGACACTTTATCATAAACAGTCTTGCCAGTGAAGAGCTGAATAGGAGTGCTGGGGCTCTCCAGAGATCTCCAGATGGCCAACACTAAAAGCTTTACATGCTTGGGGGAAGCCACTGACCAAGTGAAGGCTTTGCAGCTGTATCCTGCAGGGTGGAGTTATCATGGCAACATTTTGGTGCCAGTCCACAGATGGTGGTGTCCTGACCCACCTTGCCACTTAGCTGTGCTCATACCTTAGCTCAGAAACAAAGGAGCTCCTAGTCCAGCTCATTCACTGAGTCTTCTGTACTCAGGTCTAACTCTTGGCGCCCATAAGAATGACTAAATCAGGCTTTTGTGGAATAAAACTTCCTTTGCAGTTTAATTTCCTCCTGTTTAATGCCAGTCAGAAAGTGATGGGGGAGAAATGGGATGAGGGAAGACTGCATGTGGCAGAGAGGGGAGAAGAGTGTGCATCTTGGAGAGTGGATCTTTCTCTGTCCTCCATTATGGAGTTCTGTTTCAAGTCTCAGCTTTTTACAGCATTAATCTGCACTCTGCTGCCTGATTTCACAGTGCTGTCTCACTCCTGGGGTGCCTGTGGGTGTTGTTCTGTGGACAAACCAGGTGGGAGAGCTGCTGTTTCTCCTCTATCACAGAATTACCAAGTTCGCAGTCCTGCGCGTCTAGCTCATGCCGGGAGAGATGCTCCACAATGCCAGCCCCCAGAGAATCCCCCAGGACGTTGGTGGTCGTTCTAAGGCGGTCCCTGAAAAATCAGAGAGAAAAATTAAATACGGCTTCTTAGTGACAGCTAAGGGGATGAATACTATTTCAAGAAACATCTTCAATGAAACAACTTCTGCTTTTCAAGTCACTCTAATAATTGACACTTCAACATTGACAGGAAAATGAGTCCCAGAGAGCCTTCCTTGATTGATAATCCTGAGCACAGGCTTCACATTCATTCCTCACATTCATGCCGGCTCTATTTCATTCCCAGTTTCTCACTGAAAAGTTTTGGACTTGCCACAAAATGAGGGAAACGTAATTGTGGTTCCACATGGACGGTTTCCTTTCCAAAGAGCTGCTAAGGCCTTTCTGCCTTAGATGAGCCTCACCACATCTGTTACACTTGAGTTGCATTTTGTTTTACTAAAAGTGCAGAAATTCTGATGCAAACCTATGACTTAGTGCTGCTGTGGAGCCAGATTTCCACAGCATGGACAGTCTACACTAAGGCAAGGCACCAGATTCTTCGTGCAAAATGGCAAATCTAAAACACCCTTTGCAATGAGATATTCTCCACAACCAGCTGTATGTAAGAGCTGAAGCTATCACCAGTCCACACCAGTCCAGCAACCCATCATATCCTTCAGCAGTAACAACAGATAAGACTTTTGGTACCTGATTGAAACCAACCTTTCTGGGTAAGTACAAGAGGTAACCTGGCGTCTTAGGAGGCAGGGCCTTTTCCAGCCAAGTCTGTTCTTATGCACAGTTCACAGGAGAAGTGGAGGTGTTGGGCAAGACTCTGTTTCCAACTGCTCAGCCATGGCTGGGAGCAGACTTTGGCTGCTTTGGCTACAAACCAGCAATACAAGATACAGAAGAACAGAGGAAACACTGACAGTGTATCCCTGAGTCAGGATTTTGTTGTGTTTAGGAAGACCGAGAGAGCAAGGACTGCACACAAATGCATTCTTCAATCTATTTCCTAAGAGCACTCCTGTGAAATCACTTGTCCCAAGGTTTTAAAGGGAAAGAAAGGTGAGATGGGGAATGTAGCTGACTAGCTGCACCCATCTAAACACTCATCAACTTTGTACAGCCCAGTCTCAACCCACTTTCCGTGTTTGGTAACACTGAACCATCACTCTGCAGTGTGAATTTGCTTATTATTGGCACAACCTGTCCCTATCAGTCTGGAGATAGTTTTTGGGTGCCTTTTAAGATGAAGCAAACCAAGGACATTCTGCTTTGTCAGCAGGCTGATTTGCAAGTGACGTCTGATGCCTTGGGTCACTGAAGTACATGTTGAAGACTCCAGCATGGGCAGAGAGGGCTGCTGTGCAAAGGTCTCATGGACACCATTGTGTTTTAATGATACAGGTTATTGAGACTGCTTGCAGCAGAGACACTGGGAGTACAGACGAACTCTGTAAGCACTGGCAGGGAGCACAGAGCAGAGCGTGCTGCTGAGCAGAGGACTTACAGAAACCAGTCCACAGCGATGATCAGCGTAATGTCTTCAGTAGGCAGCCCCACTGATGTCAACACTATAACCATAGTAACCAGTCCTGCCTGAGGAATACCTGCAGCTCCAATGCTGGCTGCTGTGGCAGTGATGCTGGAGGGAACAGGAAAGCACAGCTATCAGCAAAGGGAAGAAAAGAGGTAGTCGCATTTGCAAAAATGTCAGGAAGTAGCTCAAACTCATCATCTACAAAACATCTTGGCAGCCTTTCTGCCCCGGTCACTGAGCAGGATGGTGACACATAGGACATCAACATAGCAGTCAGGCTTCCCCCCTGCCAGGCACCCATCCGTAACAGACTGCACACTACAGCTCTTGCTAAAGGATGGCCCAGATGTGGAAATGCAACAAGGGCTCAAGTGGAGCCTCAAAGACATGGTGCCCACATCATATGTGCTTCTACACCTGGAGGTGTAGTACACCCTTTTTTCCATACTTTTTTTTTTTCTCGTTGTATCTTCTGAGCAAAAGAGGAACCTGACCACACTTCAGATAAGCCAACAAAACTGAAGCCCTTCCTGTACTCCCATAACTCTTTCAAAAGTCACCTTATTGTGATGATCTGTCCGAAGTCAAGTTCATAGTTGTTGACTTGTGCAATGAAGATGGCTGCAAGGGCCTCGTACAGAGCAGTACCATCCATGTTAATTGTAGCTCCCACAGGAAGAACAAATCTTGTGATGCGCCTGTCCACACCATTGTTTTCTTCCAGGCACCTGAAGGTGATGGGCAGAGTCGCTGAGCTGAAAGGAATTTACAAAATAACATGAATTGGGTATATGCTGACTTTGGAAGAGGGACTAAGCCTCTGCCTGGTTTATGACCTTACCCACCTGCTTTTTCACCCTGCCATGTGAGCCAGAGGCCAGAAGCTGCTAGGAGAAAGAACAGTCTAAGCAAGGCTTCCTCAGATATGGTGCATGCTGAAGTTGCACATTTGGACATGGCTTTCCTCAGGGGGCTGGGACAGGGGCTGTGTAGCCCTGAGGCTGATGATGCTGGTATAACACCAAAACAAGGTGATGCTGGAGGATTCAGTGTACATAGGACAGAGGCTCAGGACCAAAACTCCTTTTCCAGCTATTAAAAATACTTGAGCCCTTTCTCACCCCCCTCAGTGCAATAAGACAAGAATGACCCATGTATGAGAATATATCTTGCAGAGAAAGCAGGGAATTGTTTCTGAAAGAGAACATGAACAGGAAAAATGCAGTGTGTTTCAGTGTGAGAACGCATGTGGGAGAGACCGTTATGTGCTTGCCAGGAAATGAACACAGCAAGAAACACAGCACTTAGTGAAACAACAGTTACCTACAATCCCTTTCTTTGGCTGTGCTGCATGACGGTGTGAGTTATTGAACATATGGGTGTTTATGCCTTTGTCCAGGCCTCCTGTGAGTTTAATGCCAGCTGCATACAGTATGTCTGGCTAGGAGAGAGAAATGTGCAAACGTGTGATGAGTACCTGTGTGTGAGAGGTATGTGCATGGGGCATAATGCTACAGTTCAGTGGGATTTGATATTTGTCCTGAGCTCAGCATTTAAGCACTGCAAGCAGAGTAACCACCATGTTTGGTAAGGAGGAGTATGGGTCATGCACTGATGGTTAGACATGGCCATGTGATTAGGGCTTCTGAGCAGGGGAGTGGGAATCCTTCCACTCTCAGATGGGCTTGGCTGGACCAGTGCAGAAAGCTGCTAGTGCTAGAAATTGTGAGACCACAGTGCTGCACTGAGGGCAATGGAGTGCTGAGAAGCAGCTCCAGAATACCCACACCAGCCCCAACCCTACTCCTATGTAGCCATCATACCTTGAGGAGGTGCCCAGGGCTGTGATGAGGGCCTGCAGAAGCCCTGCAATGAATACCCAGGGGTTTCTGTGAGTGACGATGAAGTAGAGCAGTGGCAGGATGCAGAGGGCATGAATGAGGAGTCCAACAATGACAGTGAGCGTGTACATCCCCAGCTGGCCTCCCATCACTGCTAAGTCATCCATCTCCAGGATTTTGCCAGCAATTAAAAACATGATCCCAACTGGAGCATACCTGTGGCAGAAACACAAGGCCGATGCTCAGAACTGGCACCCCCACTTTCACACCAGCTTTAATGCATGCTGTCTGGACAAATCCCCAATAAGCCAGGACACCAGAAGTGCTCACTGAGCCTAATCATTGGATGATACTGCTCGTTTCTTTTCTGGAAACCTGGAGAGAGCTGGGACTTGTTCATCATATGGTCAAAACACAACACTTATTGCACTGTTAGGGACCCAGCACTCTGTTGTGTGCACAGCTTGAGCACTGGTGGAGGTTTCCTCCTCCTTCTGGGTTTCCTACGTGTTTCTGCAACACTCCTTGTAGAATTGATAGGGAAGGTGATGTAGAGGAGTCTTCAGAGTCCCCTCCTTTCCTAACAGAGCTTGGACTGAGAGTGGTTTTTTTACTGAGGCACGACGAAGTACAGGAGAAACAGGGAATCAGGCAGTAAAAGCAATAGTATCCTGTAGGCTCTGGGATATCAGCCTTGCTATCTTCAGACATTCATATTTAGGTAATAGGAACATGTAGGGAATCCATATCTGGTATAGCAAGGACTAGGCACACCAACACCTGTGAAAGCAGCCGTGGCTTATATAAAAACCCATTCTGAGGTACACTGCTACCCTTTCCATTCCTTATGGCTTTTTTCCACCTCCATAACAATGCCTTTCATGAGCAGCAGTGAGGCTCCACAGAAAGGAAGCCATAACAACAGACATGGAGAATATCATGGGCACTAAACTAAACATGGACAAATAACTGGACCAAAGAAAATCCCAGCTCCGTGGCCACACCTGTCAGGGCTTGGCCTCTATAGCTCAAGAGCTCACATGCAATTCATGCACAAGGCTCAGAGGTCCACATGCCAATCTCCAACTTAGCCTGGGAGGTTTGGAAAAGTTTCAGGAAAGGATTTCACAAATATTTCATTTCCTCTGACCTTCTTCTTAGAAGACATTCTTGGCTGCAGCTAGTGACCAGATCTCCCCACGAAAAACAAGCTCCTGGGAGATGCTCTGCAGACTGTGGCTTCAGGAAGGAGTGCTGGGCTGCAGCTGACAGTCCTGCCTCGTATACCAGCAGGATTTTGTAAGTCAGGTGATCTCTCCAGACACTACCTACTTACTATATGCGCACAGGCAGTTTCCTGGGTGTAACCAATATGCTATACATCAACACCCTGCCTTCCTTCACTGTAAGTGGGAGTTGAAGGAGGGGATGTTGAAGGCACCTTGAAATTGTCTCTGGGAGTAGTGTGCAGGTCTACTTGTTCCACTGTGCTCATGCTCTCCCTTCTGTGCCCTTGGGTAAGTCTTATCTCTTCTTAGGAAAGCAAAGCCCCGAGTTCTGGCTCATCTGTGGAGGAGAAGATCCCAGAGGGGCCGGGGCTCCCCAATGCTCTGCTATGAATCCAGGGTTGTTCTTCCCCTTTGTGTCTTTCTGTGTAAGGCCTGTCCCCCTGTGCCCAGGATGTTGCTCTGAGATAAAAGACTGTGACTAGAAGACCAGGGAATGGAAGCTGGAGTGATCTAAAATGGGAGAGGGTGTGGGGCTGACAGATCCCTCTCCCTGTCAGACATTTCCATGTATTCTACCAGCCCCTCATCTCTCCTGTCTCGCGGTACCTACCACAAACTCCTATTTAGACATTGAGCCCTAGATGGGTAAAGAGCTTAAAATAACAAGATTTGGTAGAATGCTGCCTTCTAGAGAAGACTTGTCTCAGCAATGCCTTGCTTATCTGGACCATGTAGCACAGGCAGCCTTATATACAAAGCAACAAGCAGCTGAACTCCAGAGGAGTTGGGATCTGGGACACCTCAAATTGAAAGGCAGTAACTTTCAGTTGACTTTGTCAACCCAGCTCAGCTCTCAGAGCTAATACATACAGATGTGACCCTGAGTAGCAGGAAAGTGGCTATACAGTATTGTGATTTGTAGCTAAGTCAGACTCCTGGAACATAGCTGGAAGGAAAGCTTTTGGTGGGAAAGCCTCACACCCTACCCCTGTTGGTAAGGCTAAGAGATCTTCCACTCCAGCTCTCTGGTCTTCCAAGGATGTTTCCAGCAGCCTCAAGGAAAGCAAGTCCTGGTGTACCTGATATTTCTAAGGCAAAAACAAAAAAACAGGAAATGAAATGTGAACAAATATCCCATCCAGACTTTTCCCTCCAGCCTGATAGAGGCAAAGGAGAGCTGTGCCCATGTGCTTTTCCTGTGCATGTCATCCTTAAAGCTACCCCACTTCTCATCAGGTCAGCGGAAACTGCACCTGCAGACCTCCTGCTCCAACCGGCTGTGCTCCTCACCAGATGATAATGGCCACCAGCCTCATGATGGCTTCGTTGAGGCAGTTAAAGAACTCCCGCAGGGCCCGTCCCTTCTGCTTCATGCTGCCGATCACCAAACCGAAGCACATGGAGAACACTACCAGCCCCAGCGCGTTCACCCCATTGGCTGAGCCCGGGATGGGAATGACTTCTTCAAAGGTCAGCACCTCGGAGACGGTCCCCAGGGCATGACTGATGTTCTCCAGGATGCTGGTGAAGTTCTCAGGCACAGGGATCTGAGTGGTTGTCACACCTGCTGTGACATTGCTGCTGTGGAGGACGGTTCTGGTGAAGACCCTGGTGCTGTACTGCGTCTTGTACTGAAAAGACACAGATTATCAGATGCACTCACAGGCCCTGGTTCAGGAGCTCAGGACAACATGCTAGGCTCTTGCATCCCTTCCTAAAGAGAAGAGAGTACTGCAAGTTCACTGCTGACCCATGTGGGAAACTTGCCTTGCCTGTTCTCAAACTCCCTAGCCTAGTACTTTCATCAAGAAGTCCATAGGTCAAAAGACACCATTGGAGCATCTCATATCCCTAGGACTGAGGTATTCTGGCTTCTCTGATAACCCTTTATACTGCTTCCAAGGACAATAGCACTACAGAAGAGACAAATCCTTGGAGAATCTGCTTCCATTTCACTGCCAGTCCAAGCCTGCTACCTGAGATCACATAAAACCTTCCTGACTCTGAGTGTGGGATGGGACAGAGATTGAAGCCCCCATCTACAGACAGCTTGAAAAGCTTGTGTGAGGGATGCTGTAATACAGACTAACGACTGCAACGCCTCCTGGAGCAGTCAGACTTGGGGAAGTGTGAAGGCAGTGTAAAGCAATTGCTATTCCATCCCTCAGAGAAGTAGGTTGGACCATGGTCTAGGGCACAGGGCACAAAAGGAAGTGATAGGCCAGGTGGGATTTCGTACCTGTTTGAAGCAGGCTTCTACCAGGTTGGGCGGGAACATATTCCTGCAGTAGGTAAAACAAAGAAAGAGTTATTGTCCTGTTTGACTAGCAAGAAAACATGGGCTTCCTGGCCAACACCTCTGTCCTGGAGCAGTGTCTCAACTGGAGCAGGTCACAACTCCTACAGTGCCAGCTCAGGCTACAGAGCAGATGGGCCCTTTCTGTCTGACTGACAGAGAATGGGAATATGCTGCTCTGGAGCCAGGCACCCTCCTGCATCTTTTCAGACTCCAGAAGGTTGTATTTCAGGTATGTGGAAAGAGACTACACACATACAGCACTGGGATATGGGTCCATTGTAAAAGCATCATCAAACCCAACCAAACCTTGAAACAATACGATATTACAATTTTTAATACACTGCCTTGCTCTCAGCCTTATCTCTACAGCTGTCCTTTGAGCTCTCTGTTATCTTGTACCTCCGAAACATAGCTTCATACCACTAGAGGTCGTACAGCTTTGCAATTTACTGTGTGAAGTCACAGCAAGGAAGGGAGAGACAATGTCTCAGGAACCACTTCTTCAGTTTCCTTGGGTGAATGGAGATGGATACTTGAAGTAGCCTTTGCTGGGTGAATTTCTGAAGGGCATACAGTCTTGATAGTTTTCATGACTTGTTTTGCTGAGCACACCTTGGCCTCTTGCATTAATACCTCTAACAGAAGGGCTGGACTCCAGAGCTCCAGGCCAAGCATTCAATGTCAGAGTGGCAAAGCCAGTTAGCTAGACTGAGCTAGAAGTAGTAGGCTGGGCAAGACTCAGCCATAAACCCCTTTCCCTAAGAGTGTATGCCTAAAGCTGTGACACTTCAAAAGGACATTCTGTGGAGGAATGTAATCTCACTGATAGGGTCTCAACATGAGGTTCACCTACCTCACCAAGTCCATGAAGGCATCTGTTGTCTGCACCTGCTCAATTCTGCCTTCTCGGTGAAGCTTGTCCTTAGATCCTTTTCCTGGGTGGATGATGATCACCATGAGGATGCCAATGAAGACTGCTATGATTGTGGTCACCATGTAGTAGACCACAGCCCGCATCCCCATCTTCCCTGAGGCTCTGCCATCCAGCGAGGCCATTCCTGGGGAGTCACACAGAGACACAAGGTGAGAAGGTCTATTGTCTTAGAGGGAAGGGGGAAGCCCGAGGAAGATTCAAAGCGTGCAGGGCACATGTGTGAGTTGTATGGGGAGCCAGGGTCTCCAGGAAGCACAGCATACAAGGGGCAGACTTTGGAGCTCCAAAGTGATGTCGATATGGGAGAATGTGGCTTGTGGTTATGAAGAAGCATAGCACTGGTGGGTCTTAGGCTGCATTTGGGAATATAGCAATTTCCTCCTAAAACTCTCAGAAGGGAAATAATCCCCTCCCAGTACATTGGGTCTTTAAGTCCCTAATGGTGGGATGTTTCAGCAGGTGGAATGCCTTGCAGTCCCTTCCACTGTCTGCAAGTTTGGCAGAGGCAAGGGGAGGAGTTCATTGCAATGTTAAACCCTACAGTCTGGTCCAAAGGGACAAGGGGTGGAGATTGTAATGGAAATACCTTTAAATTGTTGTAACCTGGGATTTGAGTTGCATGGTATGGGAATTACTATAGCAGGAGCGCCTTGTTGCTAGCCAGGCTAGGAGCAAGGGGAGGAGTTAATTGCAATTTTAAACCTTATAACCTGGCCCAAAGGGACCAGGGGTGGAGATTGTAATGGAAATACGGGTTGTAACCCGTGACTTGAGTTGCATATTACAGGAATTACTATAGCAGGAACCAGCTGAACCAGTGGAGGACAAGTCTTACAATAAGCAGTGCAAGTGCAGCAGTGACCTGACCTGAGCTGGCTTTGGTGCCCAATAACTCCGTGCAACACACCACTTCTCATGTCCTGAGTGACCACAATATGGAGCCCAAAGTCATGGACTAAATTAACTCAGTGGACATTCTGTGGACATTTGTGGACATTTTACAGGCATTTTATGGACATTTTACAGGGGTGGTCCATAGACTAAGGGAATGATACCTGAGTATTATATCAAGGATGGGAAGGGGGGTGGTGGTTAATGAGGTTGTATTGGATAGTGTGGTACTTGAGGATGATGTAAATGGTATGGAATAAAGGGTGGAAAATGTGCTGGCTTTGGCTGGGATAGAGTTAATTTTCTTCATAGTAGCTAGTATGAGGCTATGTTTTGCATTTTGGCTGAAAACAGTGTTGATAATACAGAAATGTTTTCATTATTGCTGAGCAGTGCTTACACAGAGTCAAGGCCTTTTCTGCCTCTCACCCCATCCCACCAGCAAGGAGGCTGGGGATACACAAGAAGCTGGGAGGGGACACAGCCAGGACAGCTGACCCCAACTGACCAAAGGGGTATTCCACACCATATGATGTCATGCTCAGCATATAAAGCTGGGGGAAGAAAAGGAAGGGGGGGACATGCGGAGTTATGGTGTTTGTCTTCCCAAGTCACCATTATGCATGATGGAGCCCTGCTTTCCTGGAGATGGCTGAACACCTGCCTGCCGATGGGAAGTAGTGAATTAATTCGTTGTTTTGCTTTGCTTGTGTGCACAGCTTTTGCTTTACTTATTAAACTGTCTTTATCTCAACCCATGAGTTTTCTCACTTTTACCCTTCTGATTCTCTCCCCCATCATACCGGGGGGGAAGTGAGCAAGCGGCTGTGTGGTGTTTAGTTGCTGGCTGGGGTCAAACCATGACACTTCTATGAGGACCTGGATGGAACAAGCTCTCTACCCGGTGATCAACTCCAGCTCTTTTGGACTGACACGAATTAACCTTCCCTAGGCTGGAGGAAACCTGAAGCTCACTTGGGCAACAGACTTCTTGATGTTTGAGGTTATGTAGGATGAAATCTTTGTTAGTGCTCAAGTGTTGGGCATTGGAAACACTATATTGTGTCCTCCCTAGTCTTCTGAGAAAGCACAAGGCCTTCTGCTTTTCTTCCCCACTACTGAGCCAGCAGGGGTATGAGTGTGAATCATGCTCACTACAGCTATAGGTTCAGGCTTGTCCCTGTTAGCCAAGCTAATCCAAGCACCTCCAGCTGGGGCACAAAGGGGTACTCCAACAACAGCTAGCATCCGTCTTTGCTCATTATTGCCTTGACTGAAAGCAGCAGAAAGCATTTCTCACCTGTAATCAAGCTAGAGACAATGAGGGGAAGAACCAACATCTGGAGCATACGCATCAGCAGCTCGCCGGGGAAGGAGAAATACTTGATCTGGCGATAGGTCAGCTGGTAGGGCCGGAGGGAAAATGCCAGGATGATCCCTGTGGATCAGCAAGGGATGAGAATGGAAATGGGACAGAATGATCCAGTGGTCTGGCCCTCAGTCCTACAGTGTGGCTTTTCTCTTTCTCATGTCCTTTCAGCTCCTCCTCTCCCCAAAGGAGCAAATGCTTTTTCTTTTTCTAAAAGGCTGTGATCCAGTTTTTACTGTATGCTCTCTCTCTCCCCCCCACTCTGACATATTTATATGCACAGGAGCCTCGTGCTAAACCACAGGTCTCCTTGTTGCTCTGTCTGCTGCTCCTGTGTGGTCTATTCCCAGGAAGCTCATGAACACAAAAATGGTGTGACCAGAGATATGATCTCCCAGCCTAACCTAAGTGTGACTATACAGTTCAGAGACTTTGTCCACCCACCTCTTAAAGCCGAGTTCAGCCAGTGAGTTAGAGACATATAGCCTGGAGCAAAAGCTAAGGACAGTCCACTGTCTGCTGGGCAGATTTAGTTTGCATTGTATCACAGGCCTTTGCATCAGTACCCCCTTATGGTACTGTCAGGCTAAAGCTGTGGGATGAATCTGAGGAGCCCCTGTGCCTGTAGCTGCACTCACAAGAAGCCTCTGAACAAACCTGGATGATTTTTTATGAGGACTGGTAGAGCATCATCTGTTGTAGACCATTCCTAAGCTGCAGCCAGAAAGGATCAACAAGGACTCCCTCACACACGCCCTCTGCAAAGTCTGTTGTCCTTGCACACAAAGATGCTTCTGATTTGGACAGCATTTTGAGCTGTCAGCTCATCAGCTTCACCTCCCCAGCCAAACCATTATGATAAAATAAAATCTTTGTAGAATAAACAAACTTTTCCCCACATTTATAAATGGTGCCCAGTGTTGCCACCAGCTCCATACCTAGTAAGACTGCAGCAATGGTGAAGAGGACGAAGGCATTCCTCCTGAAAAAGCTTTTAGCGCTGTCAGCAGTGATGCTGTGCATCCGCTTCTTGGCCCGTGCTGCCCGCTTCTGTACTGCCTGTCGGAAGCGCTGCACCCGGCTCTCAGCATTGAGCCGCTTGGCTGCATCCTCGTTGAGGAACAGGCTGTTGACGTGACTCTGCTCACTCATGGTCAGCACGGCTGCTCAGTCCCCAAGGCACGGCTCTGCCTATGCTGGGCAGGGAGAAGCACAGGAGGGAAAGCATAAGCTGCAGCACCTGACACCTTGCCTTCATTTTTAGGTCATTTCCCTGGGGCCCTGAGCAGGTTTATTTAGAGTTGATTAATGAGCTCCTCAGCCCTTCTGCAAGGAGAAGACCCCAGGGAAAGGCATCTAAAAGGCTGACAAGGTCTTGTCACAACTGCTCTGGTGTCCTGGAGAAGTTCTGGCCTCTGTAGCACCCAACCTGCACTGAGGAGTGGCTTGTGGTGGCCTGGTCAGCCAGAAAGGGCTCCACAGCCACCTAGGCTTGTTCTTAGGAGTTTTATCAGTTTGGACAGGAATGAATTTTTATCACCTGGCAATAAAACCATTTCCTGTACACAAACTGTTGCAAACAAGACCAAGCAGCAAACAACATTTCTGACATACCTCCTAGATGGACAGGTCCCTACCAGAACAGTTTTCCCCATGACAGCAAGTGGCACCAGCTGTTTCTGCAGAAAGAACCTTTGCCTTCTGTGGAGCCTGAGGATAATGCTTTACTGACTTTCCTCTGAAGCACAACAGGACTTTCAAGTAGTAGCTCTTGTCAAACTCCACTGATAGGGTTAACCTGCTGTCCTGTCTTCACAAATACTAAGACTGAGATCAAACCTACTCCAAAGAGGTAAATAAAGGACCAGTTCTGCTCTATTACTGTCTGCAAGGCCTGGAGCAGTCTATTGTTCTTTAACTGTTTATTTTTTACTATTATTCCCATATTCCTCAGAACAAAAGAACAAGGGGGCTACACAGGCGTACCAGTCTGCTCTGGAGTGCTAGAAGGCACCGGCAATCCAACAGTTCTTATCATTAGGAGGATTATTGCCTGACTGTGCAGGTGCCATAGACAGACAGATACAAGGTCTGAAAATGATTCTTGTTCCCAGGAGTTTGCAAAGAAAATACAAGAGTAGATGAAACCAAAGAAGAACAAAGTCACTTTAGCACATCAGCAGGTGCTGAAAGACCTTTCTTTGGTGTTGCAAATCAAATAAGATCTACTTCATTTGCCATCCTAAACTTAAGTCAAAGAAACCACCACAGCTGGGATTACATTCTCTATAAACTACACATCTAGTATCTGCCATTTGGACCCAGATAAATGCCTATCACAAATTGAAGACATCATCTTAAAGAGGAACCATTCATGGTACAACATTGCAAGGTCATTTCCAACAGCTAGATGCAGGAAAACCTCCATTCTGATAGAAGAGTTGTTTGCATAGGTGCTAATTCCTTCATGAGGTTCAGAGCAGTGGAGAGACACCTGAGGTGGTCCAGCCAAGTCACTGTAAGCCCTCCCAGGGCTAAGCTGTGTGAAGGCCACTGGCAAAGATTCTGGGCTTTTGCTGCAGGAACCTTGCAGTGCTGCTGTGGTCACCCAAGCTTTTGGATTACCAATCAGCATTCTGTGGATTTTAGTCCGCTGATTCCAGCTTGATCACACATTCACTTTCTTATTACACCACCCTGCTTTTATCTGTTGATGGAGCCAATATACATCAGACTGGGTGAAAACGTTGCCTGTCTCCCTCCTTTTCACTGCCAGTCCTCCTACTTTTCACAGCTATGCATGAGAAAAAGAAACTACAAAGTACATATTCCTTCAGTTCATTGAGTTTGTGCCTCCTGAACTCCACAGTAGGTTAGGATTCAGTCCCCTGTGCCCTAGAATAGACTGGTATTATTTATTTAGTAGTCTCCCAGATACAGAGTTGGACAAACAAAATTATTAGCTGTCAGGTTCCAACAAGCCAGGACTTTCACACATCTTGTATCCTCCTGTCTTGCCAGTTACTGGCGTTACTGGCATCACTGGCCCTACAAGGAAGAGGACACCTCTCAGATCTCACCCTTTGCCATCACAGACTCACTGAATAATCCCTTTTGTGATCCATCTTTTCTTCTTTTGTCTGTAGGATTTCCAGAAGTCTGTCCTAGAGCTTACTGCCCTTATGGTGAGAAACGTACTGCACTGTCAGTGGCTGGAGGGTAGAATAGAATAGAATAGAATAGAATAGAATAGAATAGAATAGAATAGAATAGAATAGAATAGAATAGAATAGAATCTTTCAGTTGGAGGGGACCTACAGCTATCATGTAGTCCAACTGCCTCACTAATTCAGCCAAGTTAAAACTTGTTATGAAGGGCATTGTCCAAATGCTTCTCAAACACTGACAAGCTTTGGGGTATCAACCACCTCTCTAGGAAGCCTGTTCCAGTGTTTGACCACCCTCTCAGTAAAGAAATTGTATTTTGTCTGGACAAGATGGAGTTAATTCTTCCCCATAGCAGCCCTCATAGTGCTGCACTTTGTATCGGTAGCTAGAAAGGTGTTGATAACACACCAGTGTTTTAGCCGCTGCTGAGCAGTGCTCGCACAGCATCAAGGTTCTCTCCAACATTTCCCCCCCTCACCAGTAGGCTGGGGGTGGGCAAGATCTTGGGAGGGGACCTAACCAGGACAGCTGACCCAAACTGACCAAAGGGATATTCCATACTATATGACATTGGCTCAAATAAAAGCTAAGAGAAAGGAGGAGGAAGGGGGGGCATTTGTTACTTATGATGTTTGTCTTCTGGAGCAACTGCTATGTGTACCGAAACCCTGGTGATTGGAAGTAGAGAATAAAATCTTTGTTTTCCTTTTGCTTCCATGTGCAGCCTTTGCTTTTGCTTTTTTTATTAAACTGCGTTTATCTTGACCCACGAGGGGTTTTTTCCATCTCATTTTCTTCCCACCTGTCCTGCTGAGGAGGGGAGTGATAGAGCAGCTTGGTGGCACCTGGCATCCAGCCAAGGTCAACCCCATAGAAATGCTTCCTTATGTCCAGTCTAAACCTCCCCTGCTGCAGCTTTGAACCATTCCCAGGCATCCTGTCCCTGGATCCCAGGGAGAAGGGATCAGCACCTCCATCTCCACATCCCCTCCTCAGGAAGCTGCAGAGAGCAATGAGGCTGTCCCTCAGCCTCCTTTTCTCCAAAAGAGATAAACCCAGAGTGCTCAGCTGCTCTTCAGAGGACATGCCTTCCAGCCCTGTCACCAGCTTTGTTGCCCTCCCCTGGACACATTCAAGGACATTCACATCCTTCTCAAATGGTGGGGCTCAGAACTGCACACAGTACTCCAGGTGAGGCTACACCAACGCTGAATGCAGTGGGATAATCCCCTGTCTGGACCAGCTGGTTATACTGTGTTTGAGGTACCCCCGTATGCATTTTGCCCTCTTGGCTGCCAGAGCACACTGCTGACTCCTATTGAGCCTGTGGCCGACCAGCACCCCAGGGCCCTTTCTGCAGGCTGCTCTCCAGCCACTCCTCTCCCAGTTTAGGCTTGTGCTCGGCATCATTCCATCCTAGGTGCAGAATCCGGGATGGCACTTGGACTGGTTCAGTTTCATGCTGCTGCTGATTGCCCAATGCTCCAATCTATCTAGGCCTCTCTGCAAGGCCTCTCGTCCCTCAAGAGAGTCAACAGCACCTCCCAGTTTGGCGTCATCAACAAACATGCTAATGGTGCATTCAACTCCCGCATCCAGGTCATGGATCAAAATATTGAACAGCACTGGCCCTATGATTGAACCCTGAGGGACACTACTTGTGACTGGTTGCCAGCCAGGTGTAGCCCCATTCATTACAACCCTTTGAGCTCTGCCGTCCAGCCTGTTCTTCATCTAGCGCCCTGTCAACCTGCTCATGTCACAGTTGGACAAGAGGTCCGGAAGGATGCTGTGAGGAACAGTATCAAAAGCCTTACTAAAATCCAGAAGAACTGTATCTACCACCTTCCCTTCATCCATGAGTCGGGTGATGTTATTATAGAAAGATATCAAATTAGTTACAGAACTTTTCCCTTTTTTTCCCAGTGAACCCATGTTGACTGTGCCTGACGATTGCATTATTCTCTAAAGGCCTTTCGACAGCACTCAGTATAATCTTCTCTATAATGTTTCCAGGTTCTGAGGTTAGACTAACAGGTCTGTAGTTCCCTGGGTCTTCCATTTTTGTAGATTGGAATAATGTTGGCTAGCTTCCAGTCAGCAGGGATGCGGTGCAACTTCCTACAGCAGAACGGATATACCACCTAAGGCAACCACTTCTAAAAGCAGAACCACCAAACAAAGTTTCAACCCCCCAAAACAAAACTCCCTGTCCTGGTTTTGGCTGGGATAGAGTTAATTTTCTTCCTAGTAGCTGACATAGTGCTGTGTTTTGGATTTAGTATGAGAATAATGCTGATAACACACTGATGTTTTAGTTGTTGCTAGGTAGTCCTAGTCAAGGACTTTTTCAGCTTCCCATGCTCTGCCAGGTGCACAAGAAGCTGGGAGGGTGCACAGCCAGGAGAGCTGACCCAAACTGACCAGAGGGCTGTTCCATACCATACCGCATCATGCTCAGTATAGAAACTGGGGGGAGCTGGCTGGAGGGCAGCGATCACTGCTCAGGGACTGGCTGGGCATCGGTCAGCAGGTGGTGAGCAATTGCCTTGTGCATCACTTGTTTTATATACTCCTTTATCGTTGTTGTTGTTATTATTATTATTATTTTCTCTTCCTTTGCTGTCCTATTAAACTGCCTTTATCTCAACCCACGCGGTTTAATTTTTTTTTCGCTGATTCTCTCCCCCCTCCCACCGGCACGGGCGGAGGGTTGAGCAAGCAGCTGTGTGGTGCTTGGTTGTCGACTGGGGTTGAACCACGACAGTCCGTTTTGGTGCCCCACGTTGGGCACCAAAAAGGACTGTGGTGGGATGACCCTGGCTGGAGGCCAAGTGCCCACCAAAGCCACTCTATCACTCCCCTTCTCAACTGGACAGGGGAGAGAAAATATAACGAAAAAATATAATGAAAAACTCATGAGTCAAGATAAGGACAGGGAGAGATCATTCACCAATTACCATCACAGGCAAAACAGACTCAAT